TGTAGATTTGTGGAACCTCTTCTATAGAAGAGGTTAGAACTGGTGAAACCCACCCCTGGCACGCAGGCACTCTAGATACAGAGAAAGAAGCCAAGAAGCCGTGTGGGCTGCCCAACTCTTGACCCGGCTGGGTGTTGGACGTTCCGGGGGGGGGGGGGGGGGGCAGCCTTCACCTGTTTGTGCAGTCCCAGCGAGTCAATTTCCGACAGGACCCAGCCAACACTCCCGTCTCCTCCACACACCAAGATCCGAAAGGTGGAGAACTTTTGAAAGAGCCGCAGCCTGGACGGAGGACGAAGGAAGAGAAGTGAAGCACTAGCTGTACTTCCAGCAGGCAGGCAAGGAAAGGGGGTGTGTGTGTCACCCTGTCCCCCCACCCACCCCCAGTCAAAATGGCCCCAGAACATGGGTGGAGAACCTCAACTCTTGGGCTCCCTCTGCCATCACCCGAGGCAAGACGGCGGGTGATCTGAGGACGCGGGATCCTTACCCGAGGTGTGGCCCACCGTTCATGAGATCAAAGACTTGGGCTGGATTGAGGAACTGCTTGAACTTGCGCAGAAATTTCACCCCTTGGTTATCCCCGCTCTTGGAGTTGACGAAAGCCAGGAGAGGGCTGGAGCAGCTGGAGGGGCAGGTGGCCTTCCAGAATCCTGGCACGGGGGAAGAAAAGGCTGTGCTTGTGCCCCTTCGCTCACCTCCCTGCCAGGTGTCCTAGCCAACCAGGACAGGTGCAATTCTTGCTCGCATCGATTGGGGGTGCATGGGAGCATCACCTGAGGCTGAGGAAGGACCCCCCCCTCCCCAAAGTGGAAGAAAACCCCCCAATGGCTGGGCTGCCCTGAGTAAGAGAATCCTGCGCACAGGACGAGCGAAGCACAAGGAAGGGTGGATGGGAAACTGGAGAAATTGGAGTGTACCCAAGGCCATCAACCACCAGCCGAACATCTGAGTGGCCTCAACAAGGAGGACTGCTAGCCCAGGGGGTGGAGGGCATCTCCAGCAGAGGGAGCTCTAAGACTTCACTCCAGGGATGGAGAACCTATGGCACATGTGGTGGAAGTGACACGCAGGGCCATCTCTCCAGACACGCCAGCCATCGCCTGTTGCTCTTTTGGGTTCTAAGCACTTGTGGGAGCACCAGGAAGTAGAAGAGCAGCTCTGTGGCACGCAAGTGCTTGCTGGGAAGCTGAGCTCCCGGTTTCTGGCGCATGCATGCATACCGGCCATCTGGTCTTGGTGCGCGCATTTGGGCCAGAATCTGGAAGGCGTATGTGCGCGCTGGGGACCTGCTGTTGAGGTTTCCTGGCGCTCCCCCACGTGGGTGCGTGCTTCCGTTTCGGTAGTTGTGTCGAAAAGGTTCGCCAACATTGCACTACTCTGAGCCATCCTTGGCCCAGGGAAGTGTCCCGCACTACGGGGCCGCTCAAAACCCAAAGACCCCCTGAGCATGACAGGCTGCTGGGCCTCAGGTGGCCCTCTGGGACCTGGTTCCCATCGGACGGGGCCAGGACTGCGACTGCCAGGCTTCCCAACTGCATGAGGGCCCCCCGGGTGCTGCTCCCAGCCGCCCTTCTTACCGTCGGAGTCAATACTGTTGAGGGCGGTGGGAGGGATGATGGAGACCTTGTACTGGCCCAGAGGACACTTCTTGCCCAGCTGTTCCCGGCAAGTGCTGTGAACCTGGAGGGGGGGAAAAGAGGAACCCCTGAGCAAATTTCCCCCAGAGAAAGAGGGGGGGGCTGTGGCCTTCAAGCTATGCAGCTCCCTGGCCCTCAAGAGCACAAGGGCTCCCACAGGCTCTCCCAGTGAGCCCAGTGAGGCGAGGGGAGGCTGAGTGAAGACACCTGGACAATCCTGGAACAGCTGTCCTCTGAATAATGGAATGTGCAGAAATGAGTAAATTGACATTTGAAATTAGAGAACAAGAAGGTAACCAATTTTATAAGACAATGGGATTTATTTTATCAATGGTTAGATAAAAAAACAAACATGGAAATGAAATACACTAGAGAATGTTATCAATACAAGAATAATAGAGTGATACTGAATGTAACATTAAGATGTATTATTATTGGATAGATTGAAGATGATGTAATGTATTGTTATAATATAAACGATCCCAATATTTGGTATACCTCATTAAAAATGAAGGAATAAATAGTGATACTCAAAAACAAATGAGGTATAGCGATAATAATGTGTACAAACATATTTGATTTGATAATATGTGATTTCATATAAATTGCAAGTGAGGACAATGGAAAGGATGCACAAAAACCTTGCAACAAATCGACACGCTGTATGTGATGGAAGATGGTTTTATGTTTTATGGTTAGTCTATGTCTGTCTAAAAATGAAAATTTTATATATATGTGTGTGTGTGTTATATTTGTGCTGATAAATAAATAAAGGGAGACTAGTATAGATCTATTTCAAGCTATTTAGCTCTCATCAGCTAGCCATACCTTAGCTTAATGGCTAAGACGTCTGCCTAAGATGCAATACACCACAGGTTCGAATCCCAGTAAGGGTATGGCTAGCTGATGAGAGCTAAATAGCTTGAAATACATCTATACTAGTCTCCCTTTATTTATTTATCAGCACAAATATAACACACACACACATATATACATACATACATACATACATACATACATACATACATTCGTCCGTCCGTCCGTCCGTCCGTCCATCCATCCATCCATCCATCCATCTTTTTATGA